AGCTGTTGTGAATGTGACTATATGGCTCAGTGGGCAACATAGAATCACATTATAAACGATGCACAACAGAAAATTAAAAGGACGACAAGCTTATGTTTTTCTTTTGCTGCTTCGTTTTTGTATCTTTGTTGAAACTCAAATGTTTAACTTTTAAACTCAATGTTTAACTTTTAATATTATGATTAGGCAGACTAGTGACGGGCAGCACGGTGGCGCAACTGGTAGAGCCGCTGCCTCTCAGTGCGCAGGTCCCCAGTTTAAATCCCAGTCTTTCTGGGTGGAGTTTGCATGTTCTCTCCGTGCATGCATGGGTTTTCTCCGGTTACTCCGGTTTCCTCCCACAGACCAAAAACATGCATGTTAGGCTGATTGGTAACTTCAAATTGTCCCTAGGTGTGAGTGAGAGAGCGAATGGTTGTTTGTCTCGTTTGTCTCTGTGTGGCCTTGTGATGGACTGGAGACCTGTCCAGGGTCGCACAGTGACTGCCGGACATGGGCACCGGCGACACCTGTGACCCAAAACAGAAGAAGTGGGTAAAAGATAATGGATGGATGGATGGACAGACTAGGGACGTCTGTGAACTTTTAAATATTGTGCTTACAAAGTTTTTGTTGATCTGTTTATTCTACAAAAACTAAAGCAGTCTTAGCACTGGTGGGTCTTCATCCAGAGTCCTTGGTTTGAATGTTTCAAAAAGATTTGGACACTAGGTACCTTTGTAATACAAGAACCTTTTCAAAGTCATTGTACTAGGCACTCAGACAGAGATGGGTGTTCAATTAGACGTATGTGTTGAAAGGGCATACTTGAATGTGGGGCTAGGAGGACCATTCATTTATCCATTCAAACTTTATTTATACAGGTTAGTCTCATTGAGCCTCAAGGACTCATTTACAAGACCACAATGAGATAAAGACAGTATATACTGATAAGCACATGTTTGTGATCTTGTTGAAAGACCAGTGTGCTATCTCAGGATGGGTAAGATATGCATATGCAGGATATCATTGATGTAGGGTTCACCAAACTACTACCAGAGGTAACCTAAAGTTAGACCTATGACCCCCGCACCATGATGTTAAGAGCAATGCTGGTGTGACTTTCCACAACATTGACAGGATTGATCCTCTCCCCATTTGCAACATTCGAACATGCACATAATGGTCATCTGTGGTAATGCAGAGCCCAGATTTATTGCTAAATAATGTATAACAACTTCACATGTCACTAGTTCATGCTTCCCGTTTATGGCACCACTTCACACACAATCTCTGCTCTGCTGTTCTGGCAGCCTTCACATGGAATGGTGAACCTGTATTGCCAGCTGAGACTGTGAAGGATGAGTTTTGTAAAGAGTCTGATTTTTCATTTAACCTTTATTTATACAGGTTAGTCTCACTGAGTCTCAAGGACTCGTTTACAAGTGAGACCTGTTTTAAACATAGATGAGGTACAGACAACAATAGACAATCATATAAAAGCATATAAAATGAAAAGTAAATAAAATAAATTAAATGAATATGAAACTAAAACAGCTACTTTGTACATTATAAAATTATTTAAAAGACTAAAAACAGGAACCTGTCTGCGTTGGTTTTTGCCATGAACTTAACAATTGTTTAAAATCCCTTAGAGAGGTCAAAGTAGACAACTTCAGGTCTTTATGCAAGGAATTCCAGGTTACAGGAGTGGAGTAAGAGAAGGCCCTTTTGCCTAGTTCAGTCCACACTGAAGAGACGCTACGGCTGCAGGTAATTATGTCTTGAGAGCGCACGCTGTAGCTGCACTCACGTAGTGACATGTAGGAGGAGATATATGAAGGCAACAGACCAAGAAGTGATTTAAAGATGAAAATGTACCAGTGAGAGAGTCGCAAGGGCAGTGAGCAGCCAGAGACGACACACAGAGGCACTGCCGAGTTCAGATAAAATCACTCAGTTCAAATAGTTCCCTCTGGAGGGATCTGTGCACACTCGGGGGTGTCGAGGACGATCAGAGATGAATCCAGAGTCCTAAAATGATGACAGAATGTTTATTCAGCTGGGCTTCTCTGAAAAGTCCATGGAAATTCCTCAGAAGGAGGGGAGGGAGGGGTTAGAGCATCAGGCTTACAAAATTTTCCAGATGGGTTGAGATAAGATGACCTGTCAAGGCCAGTCAGGGATCCGAATTCAGATAAACACGATTGTTTTGGGGACAGGCAGAACTTTAATGACCTTGAGTCTGTGTCAGTCCACTTGCTTCCGAAAGGTCCAAATTAAATAACCATACCAATGGAACCTGCCTGAGAATAATCCCCGAGATCTGATCCATTCTGCCAAGAGTCTGGGTGCTTGAGGCACAAAGCAAGACATCATATAAGGCAGGAAGCCTGACCAGGTCCAGATTTGCTGCCGACGACTTCCTTGTTTGTTGATAGACCAGGAACCAGCTGAATCCAAAAAGCAGGGACCAGTTATCATAAATCCAATTATAAATGCGTCCTTAAAATCCACAGATGACAGCAGAGATAGACACGTCATCAAGGCTTCAAAGTCGATGAGATATCCAGCTGTGTGCGTGCCAACAGTGCAAATCGGTTCACCTAAAGCCTGTTTTCTCTTCAAAGAAATGTTATCAATTGTGTTGAGGGACCAACTGATCAATTCCAAGTCCATAGTTATGATTTGGAAGATTTGTAAAAGAGATGCTCTAAAGCAGTTTCACAGACAGGACAGAGCAAAAGCAAAGCAGAGAGGGAGAGGAAGAGATGTCCGTCCTTGAGAAGAGCAAGTGTTGAATGAGCTTGTGTCTGTAATCTCGTTGTTTTGATCTCTACCCAGAGTTTGTGACCACAGGTGAGGGTAGAAATGTAGACCAAATGGTAAACAGAGAACTTCACCCTGCAGCTCAGCTCTTTCTTCACTACAATAGACAGGCACAGAGTCCACAATACTGCAGAAGCTGTACCAATCTGTGTGTCAAGCTCACGCTCCATTCTTCCCTCCTTATGATCAAAACTCTGAGATATTTAAACTCTTCCACTTAAGTCAACACCTCATTCCTGACCTGGAGAGGACAGTGCACCCTTTTCAGACTGAGGACCTCAAATATGGAGGTGCTGATTCTCATCCTAGCTGCTACACAATGCTGCAAACTGCTCCAGTGAGAGCTGGAGATTACAGCATAATGACACCAACAGGACCACATCATCTGCAAATAGCAGAGACTGAGCCCACCAAACTGGACTATGCCTACTCATTGGCTACCAGAAAATGTGTCCATAAAAGGTCCAACTCCCACCCTGAAGGAGTTGATCTTATTGCCGACAATGTAAACAAGACTTTTGCGTGATTTGTTGAGACTGAATCATGATTGTGGCATTTCCTATTTAGGCAGTATTTAATATACAGTACAGAAGCACTCTTCTGGGCTCATTTTATTTATTCATTTTTTTTGGGGGGGGGGGGGTATGCATGAGAGAAGCAGAGCACCACGTCTGTAGCTTTTTAGCTAGCGTGTCTGTATTGCGTGCCGCTAGCTTAGTACTACTTCAGCGTGGGCATTTGTCGACGGGGTTGGGGATGAAGGACATTTCAGTAGGTGGGGCACTCTCTTTCTGTTGACAGTGCCCTCCTAATGGTAGGGAAAACACTGATGCATTCTGGGTAAATGTCTTAGACTTACACAAGTTGCTCTAGAGCAAATTTCATTCAGCTTGAATGTTAATTTTGGACAGTATCTAACATTCAGTCCTTTAATTTGAACAGGAGCTGAGGAACCCAGACCAGTGGTCATTCTGTATGTTGTGGGAGTTTCAGAGAAACGGAGACGTTTATTTTCTAAATATAATCATACCACAAAATACATTACGGCAAAGACTGGTTCATCCCAAAGATCCAGTCCCCTGGCACAAACAGAATAATATTGTATATGTTGTTCAGTGTCAGGAGGCTGTGATCAGTCTTACATCAGGGAAACTAAACAGCCACTGGCCAAAAGGATGGACCAGCACAGAAGATCAACATCATCAGGCCAGGACTCTGCGGTCTACACTCATCTCCAGGCCAGCGGTCACTCTTTCAGGGATGAAGATGTTCACATCCTTGACCTTGATAGAGAGAAACATTGGTTTGGGAGAGGAGCAAAGGAGGCCATCTTTGTGAAACGAAACAGTCCATCATTAAACAGGGGCGGAGGCCTCAGTGTTGAACTGTCCCTAGTATCTCAGCCCTCTGTGAATAGCAAGCGGCCATCAGGGCACTAACAACCAATTGTTAGGCTGATGGTCCTCCTTTAGCATGTGAACAGCTATTTTGAATGTCAACAACAAACTGGTTGATTCACTATGAGAAGGTGCTGTTTATAAGCTTACTACAGCTCCTCAGCTGAAGAAGTCTTTCGGATGAAAGACGAAACGTTTCGACAATTTTTATTTTTTTGAACCCATCCAGACTGAGGACCTGACTTAACTTTTTTTTTTTTTTTTTAGATAAAAGACAAAACCTTACAGCAAAGAAGAATCAGTCCAGAGGACCTGACTTAATCTAGACAGTTAGAGATCCCTTTATAAAACCATTGTGTTCTAACAAGCATTTTATAAATTAGTACTTTATCACATAGTTCATATGTAGTTATTCTTATCAGGTATTTTGCTCAGCTGTGGATAAACTGGAAAAAATGTGTTGAAAAAAATAAATGTTTCCCGTTGGGCCATAAAAATATCCTCTATAAAAGCCTAATTCACCTAGACGCTGAACAGTTTACTTTTTTCATCTGCTCGGTGGACGCGTCTATTCCTCCGTAGGGGTGGCGCACATTCTCACATTTAGATAAAAGCGTCCAGCAGCCTTAAATCCTAACAGAAATGAAACATTTTCTAAGTATACCTTCTTCCCGGTCTCTACCGAATAACTGGAGTCGTTAGACCGCTTTACGACGTGTTTTGTGTCCCGCCGCGCAGCGCGGACCCCTCCGTTTGGCCGCGGTGGAAGCGGCCGTCATAACCTTGGTTAAAGGCGGCGGAGCGGCCCTAGAGAAGAGCGAGAGGCTGAACGGGGCGAAGCGGCCGAAGAGCAGCGACTCCCCGGCGTGAACATGGCGGAGACCGCACGCTCGCTCCTCGAGCACCGGGACACACACGGTGAAGGAGAAGGCGCCAAGCCCACACCGTCAACTCGGGGGTAAGTCCGCTAATGGACACACTCGGGGTGGGTGTGTTCGCGCGCGTGTGTCGGTGTGTTTTCAACTAAAGTTGCCGTAGCGCGTTATTCGTCTCGTTAGTCAGCGGCAACACGTCCGGTTGGCCGAGCCGACGTGAGGAAGTGGCTCGTTAGCTTGAAGCCCGTTTCCCTCCGTTAAATCCACTTGTCGGTACAGCTCGTGAGAGGCGTGTGCGCGCGCGACACTAATTCACCAGCTTGATGAAATGTGTGTGCGCGCGACAAAACGCTGCTTGTGCGGTACCTGTGCAGTTTCATCTCAGCTACAGCACACCTGTTACTCTGCAGGTAAACTGCGGCGGGACAAAAGTTTTCAACATGGCGGCTGTCTGTCAATAAGTTGGTTCAGTTATTTTACTGTCAAACATACCATGATGTGTGTGTGCGCGCGTGTGTGTGAGAGAGAAAAACACTCGCACACAGGGAGGGGAGAGAGCGTGAGAGAGAAAGGAGCAGCTCTGTGTGTGTGTGTGTGATGGGAGGGGGTGAGTGTGTGTATGCGCGTGTGTGAGCAGAGGAAGGAGGAGGGAATGTGTGTGTATATGTGTGTGTGTTGGGGATGGGAGGGGGAGAGAGTGCGCGCGTGTGTGTTAGAGCAGTCGGAGGAGGGGGTGTGTTTGTGTGCGTGTGTGTTGGTGCAGAGGAAGAAGGGGAGTGTGTGTTTCTGTGTGTATTTTTGTGTGTGTTGGGGATGGGAGGGGGAGAGAGTGTGTGAGTTTGCGTGAGAGACAGGAGAAGGAGGGGGAGCACAGTGTGCAAGGAGTGTGTGACAAAGAGCAGGAGTGTGTGTGTGTGTTAGATTGTGTGTGTGTAGTTGTGTGTATGTTGGGAAGATTGACTGTGTTGGAGACAAGATGAACATGTTTTTCAAACTGTGTGTGTGTTTCTGCATGCATGCTGGAATGAAAGTTAGAATGACACAGAAAATTAAAACAAGTGTGTGTCCGTGTGTGTGCGTGTGTGTGTGTGTGTGAAACAGGAGTAAAGGTGTGTTTACTGTGAGGCTGAAGAGGGAATGGATTGTCAGATTGAAGGACATGTGTGCGCACGTGTGTGTGAGATAGAGTGGAAGTGTGTGAGGCACATAGAAGGGGAGGTGTGTGTTTGTGTTTAGGGAATGGGGGAGGGAATGTGTGTATATGTTTGTGTGGCAGAGTGTGAGGAAAAGGTGTGTGTGTGTGTGTGTGTGTGCTGTGAGCATGAAGGGTTGAGTTTATGTGTAACCCTAAGAGGGAAAGTGTGTGTTGGTTGTTATGAATTGTTTCTTTTCTGTTTGTCGTTCATATCTTACTGTAGAAGCTGCAGAAAAGTGGTGAAGGAAGGTGTGTGTGTGTCTGTCTATATAACTGAGGTGTGTGTGTGTGTGTGTCTGTGCGTGTGCATGTGTGTGTGATGATCAGAAGAGAGCAGTTTAGTGTGAGTTAAGGGTAGAAGGTGTGTGTGTTGCAGAGATCACGTGGGTGTGTGTTTAAGAGAGAGGGGAAAGGAGGAGGGAGGGTGTGTGACATGGGGTGAGTGTGTGTGTGTGCATGTGTGTGTGTGCAATCACTTGCAATCTTTTAAAACAGAAGGGGAGGGTGTGTGTGTGTGTTGTGGAAACTGAAAAAGAAGGCTTGGTAGGTGTGCGTGTCTGTTTTTGTGTTTGTGTTTTTGTTCTGGAAGGAGAAGTGTGTGTGTGTGTTCTGCAGTCAGGAATGGGAGGGGTGTGTGTGCCATGAGGAGACAGACATAAGGTTTGTGTGTGTGTGTGTGTGTGTGTTGCTTCTAGACAAGGGCAGTGTGTTTGAGTGTGTTGTGCAGAGGGAAGGAGAGTGTTTACGCATCTACTTTGTTTATGAAAGAGGAAAGGACAGTGTGTGTGTGTGTGTGTGTGTGTGTGTGTGTGTGTCTTTGTGTGTGCGCATGCTCATAAGAAAAGTATCTTTGTGTGGGTGGTATGGTAGATGTGAAGGATGTGTGTTTGGCGTGTGTTTGTATCTGTTTTTTACTGAAAGTGGTGTGTGTTTGAGAGAAAACGTTCTGCATGAAGGACAGCGTGTATGCGAGGTGTATTGTGTGATTGTGTGTCTGTGTGTGTGCGGGGTCTAAAACGTCTGTGGAGTGAGCAGCAGAGATGACAAGAAGTTGTGTTTGTGCATCTCTAGATCCACCAGCATAATGTTGTTTGTTTGAGGCTGAGGAGGAAGAACTTGTTTAATGAAACGTGCGTGTGTGTGTGTGTGTCACACGTTGGAGGAGAAAATATGTTGTGGCAGACATGCATGACTACGAAAGTGTGTGATGTGCAGATTCAGAGATTCAGTGCAAGCGTGTGTTTGTGTGTAAATGAGAGAGTGTGTGTGTGTCAGAGATGGAACATGAGACTGTGGGTTTGGTTATATGAGAGTGTGTGTGTGTGTGTGTGTGTGTTCGTGTGTGTGAGTGAGGGAGAGCTTTAGAAAGGGGGAGGGGTGTGTGTTTGTGCGTGCATGTGAGCTTGGCTAGAGAGAAGATATTTGTGTGAGTGTGAGAGTGTGTGTGTGTGTGTGTGTGTTTGTGTGCCTGTAAGCTTGAGAGGGAGGGAGGGGAAGTGTGTGTGTGTGTGTGCATGTGTATGTTTGAGAGAGAGCCTGTTTGCATGTGTCTGTGTGTGTGTGTGTGT